TCTAAATAATCATACCATCTGCAAATACAGTTTTACTTTTTACTTTCTGATCTTTATGCTTTTTATTTCTTTTTCTTGCCTTATTGCAGTGGCTTAAACTTCCAGTATATTTTTGAATGGAAGTGATGAAAGCAGACATCATTGCCTTGTTCCTAATCTTGGAGAGAAACAATTCAGTCTTTCACCATTAAGTATGATGTTAACTGTAGGTTGTTTGCAGGTGCTCTTTATTTCTGGAAATTGATATTTGAATTTAGAAGTTTGATCAGATTCAAGTGTAATTTTTTTGGTGTGGGGCAAAACTATTTCATAGGTGTAATTCCATCGAGTGATGTATCTGTTTGTATCTTTTTGTGATATTAGTAACTGTAGTGCAATGGTTTTTCTCTCTATATGGCCCTTTCTTGCCTTGAGTTTGTAATTCTGCCAAAAATAATTGGTTGGGCCACAGCCTGCCCTGTGATTGGTCTGTTTTATGCACCTTGCAGGGACTGGTCAGTCCATTATGCAAATAGGTTGCTTAAAATCACCCAGTAGGATTAAGTGACCATGCCGGAATTGGTCAATGACTATGCAAGTTAAGTGACTTTGGCCTAGCAAGGGAATTGGGCAGTTTGTGGTCTAGTGGGGCAGGGCATGACTTAAAATTGACAAGAAGTAGGCTTACATAAGGGCCAATTGCACAGAGGTTTAGGAGGACCTCATTACTATCAAGAGGAATCTACAGCAGAGCATGTCCTTTGGACCCAGCGTCCCTGCACTGAGAACCTCCTAGAAAACAGGAGAGAGAGAGCTGTCACAGTGTAGACAGCATGAGATAATGAGAAATGGCAGCAACCACAGCAGGGTCCAGCAACAGAGAAATGGTGGCAGCAGTATGAGCGGTGGAAACCAGGAGACTGGCACGAGGTGGCTGCGTGGGCTTGCTGACCCCCGGAGTGAGAGAGAGATACATGCCTTTGGGCAGGAGGCTTACTGGCAGAGTGGGATGCCTGCAGACACTTGTCTGTAGAGCTAAAGAGTAGTAACATTTGCCTGAGCAGGACAGAGGCCCAAGCAGGATGAGGCAGCAGAGGCCTGAGGGAAGGGCCAGCAGCAGGCACTGCCGAGAAATGGGCTGGCTGCCTATAGGCACAACTGAGAAGAACCTGAGAGCTGTCTTGTTTGGAAGCTGCCCTGACTGAAGAACTATTCTGTTACTTCTAAGTTGATCATGATTCCAAGTTGTAGCCTGTTACTTCCCTAATAAACCACATAATCATGAGTATGATCTGTGAATTTTGTGTGACCATTGCAACAAATTATAGAACCCAGCAGAGAAGCAGAGAGTGCCAGGGCGGGAGGGGGTGGGTAGCAGCTAGGTCAGAAATAGTGAACAAGTTGGGAGAGTGGAAGTATGTCTGACTACTACCTGATAGGAATCAGGTTTGTGCTGATCTTGATTCTCATCCCTCCTCATGGATGTAGACGAGGTCTGATGCTAATAGATTACAGCAACCATTGATGATTGTTGTCTATATCAATTATTACATTATGGGTTGTTATTGTTGTTGTTAGGTGCCATCAAGTTGATTTTGACTCATAGAGACCCCGTGTGACAGAGTAGAACTGTCGCATAGGGTTGTCTTGGCTGTAATCTTTACAGAAGCAGATTGCCAGGTCTTTCTCTTGCAGAGCTGCTGTGAGGGTTCAATCTGCCAACCTTTTGGCTAGCAGCAGAGTGCTTAACTGTTGTACCACCAGGCTCCTTCCTGATGGGTTACAAATGGTTATATTGCAATTCTGTTAACTTTTTCTTCTTTTATTAGCTAGAATACTTCTATAGAGAAAATTTTCCTTAATGAACTATTTGGTTACCCTGCAGTATAGTTCCTATGGGAAAGACGGAGAAAAGGCTTGATTGTTTCCTTTCATTTATCAGTTTTCAGAAAAATGAGTCAGTTCCTTAGCATCCTCCAAAAGGTGATCAAAGCTTTTTAGACCTTAATTATGAATTTACTATGTGTTTCAATCTATTCGGTTGTCAGTCTTATTGATGCTTAACAAGTGTGCATTTTTCTAAGTTCTTTTAGAGCTTGCTATTTATGACTTTTCCTCTAGATTTATAGCCAAGTCTTCATTCTATGTATAATCATTCTTTCTTTGCCAATAGCCGGGAACATAAATACATTTTTGCTTGCAAGAATAAGGGCAAAAGGAGGATGTAACTAAAGGCTTATTTCTAATACCTGTGACTAAAGAATGGACTCACACTTCAGCTGTATGGCAGCATATTCAAAGAAACCTTGGAATTTTGTGGGTAAAACTAAAGAAGCCAAACTTTCTTTGATTGGAACCTGCAGAACAAGCTTTTTGTGCCATGGCTGTTATGTTAGAGAAGATGTATATCAGAGAATAAAAGTTATAATTTTAAGTTTCTTGGTAAAAATCATTTAGAAAACCCTATTTATTCCTGTATAACAACACAAAAGAAAGTCTCCCTGACACACAGTGTGTATTTTTGATGTAACGTTAACTTCATGTGGCTTTGCTGTTTGACTTGAGGCATGTGTACATAACCTTCTGAACATTCATTTAGCTCATAACATGCCAATTTCCTAACAATTATTATTGTCCCAAAGTATAGTGTTTCACTGTTCAACATGAAATATGTGCACGAAGGGAATTAACATTTGTGGAGTTTCATGAGCTTAGCAGTGTCTCTACATAGTAAGTGTCAAAAATGGTTTATTTCCTATTAGCTTTATTGTCATTTTTTTCCTGGTTATAAAAATGATACTGCAAAAATTTAACCAAATAGGTATTACCTATAATCCTACTCAGAAAGTTATACACAAAGTTACATAGCTCTAGCTCTTTCTCTAAGTAGTATTTACAACTAGATACTTATATATTGAAGGATGTTTGCACTTTCCCAGAAAGTACAGGGAAATTATTTCTGACAAAAGTTTGGCTTTTTTGAACTATGTGAATTTTTGGTAAAAATATGTAATGTATATCTAATATATACGTATGTATCTATATATGTGCATATATGGAGAAAGAGAGGGAAGGAGGAATGGAGGAAGAGGGAAGACAGGGGAGGAGAGGAGTTCTGAAAAGGCAGCAACATGGTTTAACAATTATGGATACTTAGGAAGTTTGTTGTTCGTGCCTAACCTCTGTCACAATACATCCTAGCTAAACAGACCCAAGTATCAGCTCAATTGTAGTGCTAGTTTCAGTTTCATGGACGTAAGAACTTTTAGAAGTTACTTAAAAGAGGTGGTTTCGTTTAACCATCTCAGTTCCACATTTTTTGGTTACAAAGGACCCCTCCCCCATTTATCAGTGTTGTGTGTGTGCATTATTAATGACATGAGAAACTGTTATCATTACTTTCTCCCTGGTACTGTTGAGGAATCTGAGTGGACCCTAGATTCCTGTCTTTGCCGTGTGATCTTTTGACCGTAGAGTTGAGGCGTACTTCTCCTTTAGTCTCATTAGACACTTAGATCATTTGATACCCTTTACCCGTTATGTGTTGATTTTCCAATAAACTAACGAACACTATTGGCAGGAACCATTTTTAATGGGGAAAAATTTTAAATGAAGTAAACTTTGTAACACTCTTGTGCATCTATCTTATTTGGATAAGAGAGATTTTATTTAGGAAAATTGATTTATATACAAAAAGCATTTTAAGCAGCATTTAACATTGCTTGCCCCTCCAATGTTTAGCAAAGTAGCCTTTTCATATCTTGTATTTCTAAGTCATAGGAGCCCTGGTGGTGCTAATGGTTAGGTGTGCAGCTGCTAACCAAAAGTTTCACAGTTTGAATCCACCAGTAGCTTCGCTAGAGAAAGACCTGGTGATCTGCTTCCGTAAAGATTGTTGTTGTATGCCACCGAGTCATTTGTGACTCATAATCAAGTCTGCAGGATACAGTAGAACTGCTCCATAGGATTTCCTAGGCTGTAATTTTTACAGGAGCAGATTTTCTTTTCTCCTGCAGAGCAGCTGATGGATTCGAACCGCCGATATTTTGGTTAGCAAGCCAAGTGCTTGACCACTGTGCCACCAGGGCTCCTTCGATAAAAAGTAGAGACAAGAAGACCCTGTGGGGCGTTTCTTCTCTGTCACATGGGGTCACTATGAGTTGAAATTGACTCAAAGACACCTAACAACAGCAACAATTTCTAAGAAAAAGGAAGGCTCTTAAATCTTTTATTTGAACTCCCATCTGCCTATAAATTAAATTTCTTTTGTCTCTACTTTAGCAGGTAGTTTCTACTTTTCACTGGTAGAAATCGTGCTAGGTAGCACCCCTCCCCACTTATGTCTATCACTGTGTGTCTGGATAGTCCAAGTTCACCTCGGGGTTAAAATGCACATTTTTTGAAGAACTACAGAAGTATTCGCCCCTGAAAACTATATAAATTACTGTATGAAGGTGTTGATATGCGGTGGGCATTGCAGTGAAAAGGAGGTGGGGAAATTCAGGTTGCCCTTGACTGCCTAGAATTCTCCCCTATGCCCAGGTGTGTGGGTTGCCAGAGGGAAAAAGGCCTAGGACTATGGCCACAGGTAGTTGTCACTGACTGGGAGACTAATACCAATGGAATGTGACCAAACAATGAATGAATGAATGAATTTTAAAAACAATTAACAGCAGAAAACCCAAGGGTCTTTTCTAATTGCCCAAAAATGGAAATGACACAGAACCTTAGGAAATTCCTAGGTGGAGAATCTGAATTCCTGTATCATGTAAATCATTCCTGAAAAAAGGTTTTCATTGTTTCCTTTTGAAATTAGGTAGTCTTGTATTTCTTTAGTTTCTGCTGAATCTCATTACTAAAATTACTAGGTTGCTCATAAAAATCATTTCGTCCATCACTGGATTTTCCTCCAACATAACTACTTCTTAAGTGATGCATAAGGGTGATTTAATGCCAGTGAGACAAGAGGGGTGTTTAGTAGTACTTTTCCTCAACTCTTGTTGGTTTCTTTGGATTTCCAGGATGTGGAGAGCATCTTGTTCGCACCATACTGGCTAGAGAATGTTCACATGCTTTGCAAGCTGAGGATGCTCACCAAGCACTGTTGGAGACTATGCAAAACAAGTTTATCAGTAAGTATAACATTAAGAAAGTGATATCCTTCTAAATATAGGTCATTTTACTGACCTGTAAGCTCCACGAGGCAGGTACCACATTTGTGTCACTGTACCTAGTTCCAGGCACAGAGACCCAGACCAGTGACTAATTCTTTTAGTTTTCCCCCAAATCTCCTGGTGTCCAGTCACACCCGCTCCCTCAGCCTGACATTCAGGGTAGTGGCAGGGAGGGGCCTGGCTAGCTAAGGGTTCCTCTAAATCTACTGATTTTGCCAAAATTCAGCCTTTACCTACTTAAAACACCTTTTATTCTAAAGCTTTCTCTACCTTGAATTTAGAAAAGTGCATTTAGAAGCTTAGATGATAAAACTTACTTCAACTGGGTAAGTGTGCAACTGAAGGTTCCAGGGATGGGGATAAAATCTGATTATTTTCTTTTCATGGTGAGCATTGTTGTTGAGGCCTTCAATACAGTATTATGCCCCATTAGGAAAGAGATTTTAGGGCACACAGAGAAAGGAAAAACAACAACAACAACAACAGATTATGGGTAGAAAATAATTGAATTTATTTATGTGCAGGAAGAACAGTGAATCACTATAGAAAACAATGTTTTAATTTGAAGGAATTTTGCACTGGTTCTGTGTTAGCAGTTATCTGAGCTGAGGTTTTGAGGATGTGAACAATGGTATTAACTCCATGCGTGTTGAGAACTGCCTGTTGGCAAAACGTGAGCTGAGGCTTGAGTTATGAGCAGGACTCTCAGGTCTCCTTTTGGTGACTTTTCAGAAAACGGTTGTTTAAATTCATACTACATGACTCAAATGTATCAGAATCAGACACATGGTCTTATTCGTTCTTTTGTATCTTCAGTTATCTTATAGAATGCTGTTTTTAAGGGAAACCAAATTCTCGGCCTTAATAGCATATCTAATTTATATAATTTTCTGTTAGTTGTAAGATATACTGGATGCCTTCTTATTATCGGGAAGTAATAGTAAGAGTTGAAAACTTGACCTCTGGAGACATTAACTTCCTAGGAACCCTGTGGTGGGTGCATAATAAAGGCACATTGTAACTTTTTGCTTGTTGAGAATGGCCTGAATGAAGCACTTCACTGAATCGGAAACCACACTTTCATGGTCTGGTTCTACCTCTCTAGCTCTAGGTTCATGCTAAGGAGTTCTGAATTTCACTGTTTTCTCTTTGATTGCTTTGTTGTACTATCTGTGCAGCTCTTTAAAACTATTCACAGAGTTGGACTGCAGTATTTCATTTTGTCACTGGGTGCCGTTACCTAATGCACATTGAACCTCATCTTAAACATTGCAGACTCATGAAAAAGAGTAAGAAACTTTAGAGCTCATCTAATAGATCCCTGTCATTTAATAGCTGAAGAAACTTCAGTTTAGAAGAGTTCAGTGACTTGCCCAAAGTCACACCGGGTTAGCCAGTGGGTGTTTTTTTCTGCAAGACCACGCTGCTTTTATTAAAAAGTAAAATAAGTGTGAAATGCAGAAAAACAATGGCTTGAGAGTTGAGACACCTAATGTCTTAGTTATCTAGTGCTGCTATAACAGAAATACCACAAATGGGTGGCTTTAACAAGCAGAAATGTATTTTCTCAGTTCAGGAAGCTACAAGTCTGAATTCAGGATACTGGCTCTAGGGGAAGGCCTTCTTTTGGCTCTGAGGGAAGTTCCTTGTCCCTTTTGAGCTTCTGCTCCTGGCCGATCTTCATGTGGCTTGGTATCTCTCTTCCCCCAACTCTGCTTACTTCTTTATGCCTAATCTGTTCTTTTTATATCTCAAAAGAGTTTGACTCAAAACACACCCTATACTAATACTGTCTCATTAACATAACAAAGAAAACTCATTCCCAAATGGGATTACATCCATAGGTATACCAAAGGAAAAAAAAAAAACCCGTTGCTGTCGAGTCTATTCTGACTATAGCGACCCTATAGGCAGAGTAGAACTGCCCTATAAGTTTTCCAAGGTGCAACTGGTGGTTTCAAGCTGCCAGCCTTTTGGTTAGAAGCCAAGCTCTTAACCACTGTACCACCAGGGCTCAAATGTAGATGTAGCACGGAGAAGATGCAGCTAAGAATCTAAGAGAACTTGGGTGAGCCAGTTGCTCTGTGTCTGACCCTTTTGTAATCCCCTCACTGACTTCACAACTGCCATAACCCATTGCTGTTGAGTCGATTCCAACTCATAGTGACCCTATACGACAGAGTAGAACTGCCCCATAAGGTTTCCAGGGAACGGCTAGTGGATTTGAACCGCTGCCCTTTTGGTTAGCAGCCACAGCTCTTAACCACTATGCGACTTAGCGCTCCTCCACGGGTATAGGGGTTAGGATTTACAACACACATATATTTTTGGAGGACACAATTCAGAGGAACCTGGGTTCCTCTCTAAACTGTTGTCTCTGACTCAGAAAATACAAAGGTCATTTAACCTGTTTTATTTTCTTAAAAACAGAAGAAGAAGCCAGAGCATTAGACAAGAGGCAGTTTTTAAATTCCTTTACCATGTTAAATTCTGTGAAATATCTACTGGATTCAACCCATAAATACGATATTCTTTTTGATCAGGTGATGTTTACACAGTAGTTAGAACGAGGTAGATTAGATTTACCGGAGGCCTAGATTAGGAACAAGGAGGTTGGGTTCGTTCCTCTTTTAACGCACTGGTGGTATAATGAGTTGGCTGTGTTTTGGACAAGTCACTCTCTTTGTACTTAGTTTCCGTATGAGTAAAATGAGGGGGCAGATCTGGATGGTGCCTAAAACCCCTTCCTCCTCCAAAATTCTATTTGATCTTTAGTTTAGTTCCCAGGCCTATCAAAAACTGCGTATAGTCGTCCCTTGACATCCATGGGGTATTGGTTCCAGGACCCCTGTGGGTACCAGAATCCTCAGATGCTCAAGTGCCTTATATAAAATGGGGTATTATTTGCACATAACCTATGCACACCCTTCTATATACTTTAAATCATGTCTAGATTTCTTATAATGCCTAATACAATGTAAATGCTGTATAAATAGTTGTTACACTGTATTGTTTAGGGGATAATGACAAGGAAAAAAAAGGCTTTTTTCTTTTTCTTTGAATATTTTCGATCCGCAGTTAGTTGAATCCGCAGATATGGAACCCGCAGATACAGAGGGCTGACTGTATGTGAAAGTACGTTTGTAAATAAAATTAGTCTTTAAATAAAATTATAACTGTTAACAGTGGGTCTTGAGTTTTTGTTTGAAATCCTTTCTGGCAGTGATTGAGGTAAGCTAGCAACTACTTTCTTGGTTTTGTGGAAAGATACCAGGCTCTTTTTCCTTTCTTGCTTCCTTTTAAAAACAATTTGAATAAATAATATATCTAAGCTTCTCATTGCAATGTATATATATAAAAAAATTTCTGTAGTAATCAGGTCAAAGATCTCCTTTTCATTCAATCTAAGTCCCATTTCTTTTGCCAGAAAGAACTACTCCTTACCGTTTGGGGTATGTCCTTATAGTCTCATTCTGTGTGTGTCTTTCTGTCTGTCTGTCTCTATCATATGTCTATCTATCTATCTATCTATCATCTATCTATCTTTTAAACAATTATATGGGAGAAATTTCTAATATATTATTCTGCAAAATGCTTTTCAGTCAACATATCTTGGTACTCTTATTGTATCATATATAGATTTATCACTGGATATTCCATGGTTCCATAATTTATTTCTTTATCCTCCTCCTGAGAGAGATTTAAGTTGTCTGTAATTTTTGTCTATATCATTTTACCATCTGTGAATGTCTATTTCTCTATACACTTTTAAATAATGGTTATTATCAAATTTTCTAAAAATATCCAAAATCATGGATGAAAAAAAAAGTTTCTAGTTTTAACTTGTCTTTTCCAGACTACGGGTGAGATTGAACAACTTTTCACATATGGCTTGGCCTTTTGTATTTTTCTGTGAATAATCTGCTTATAGCTTTTGCCCATGTTTCTATTATACTGTTTGAGTTATTTTCTTTTAATTGACATTTAACTTTTATTAATGGTAAAATTACCTAGGTTATTGCTATGCCTTTTTGGAACAGCAAAGATTCTAAGAAGGCATAGCAATAACTGTCTGTATAGAATTTTAAAATAACCCTAAATCTTTTTTTTTGAGTGGTAGTTATGTTTGATATCCATGGCTCTTCTCCCACAATAGGGGAATTTTTTTTTTTTATTACTAATTTGATAGTTAAGATTCAAATAATTTCTTTTTAGGTATTTTTTCTAAGGTAGTAACTTATTAAAATAAAGATTTGTTTTCTATTTTTTTCCAATCTGAAATAAACCCTGAAATATCTTAAATGTAAGGTTTTTCAAAAATCTATTTTTGATAAATAAGACTTTAGTGTGACAAAGTCAAACAGAGTAAAACTGAAAGACATTTTGAAGATTGGAATATTTTTGTTTCCACTTGCATCATTACCATTATGCCAAGTACCAGAGCTTTGGTTTGACTTAATATAGGAAGCATAAAAGAGAATAACCAATTTGTGTTTTTGTTTTAAAAACACTGTTTGTGTAACATACAAAACCTATAAAAATGGATACTGTAAAAATAGTGCCTTAATAATACTTCATGCTAACCAGCTGATTATAGACTGCTTAGTTAAGCAGGGAGAAAAAATAGATTTCCTTTTTAGTTGTGCTTTTTAAATGATTACGTGCATATACACATATAAAAGCACTTGCAAGGATTTAGATGTAACTTTTCTTATTTACGGCTATTTTTGAAAGAACTTGGTTTCATGAAGTATTCTTTTTTCATGCAAACTGTGGCTGCACATGTGGTATGTGAACTTCAGGGTGGCATTATAGCTTCCTGCTCAGTTTTCAAAATAATGTCTTAGTACATTTTTGTAGTTAGTTTCTGCTTACTATTAAGTACAATTTTGTTGATAAAATTTTATCTGTAAATATCACTTTTGCCTTCTCTTCTTTGAATTTCTGGGCTAAGTAATTAATATTATCAACTACAATCTATGTGACTATTGTTGAAAATTTTCAAAATATAGTATATATAGTATTATGATGAAAAATAAGTAAATTTTGTCCTGTATGCCTTTATATTTTATTCCTTTGGGGGATGATGTTCTTACACTGTTGTTTTGTGGGATTATAACTCTTAGAGGTTTACTTTAATTGATATCATAGGTTTACAGTCAAGTACAGAATGCCATCAACAACAGAGGTTGAAGGAATTTTTTGCCAAATTGAGAAATTATATTTGATAAATACTTTCTTTTCATGACCAAATTATCAGGTAAAACCCCAATAATTCATAAGTATTAGTTCTGGAAGAAGAACAAAAATACATTGTCATTACAACTGCTTACCCTCTTATCTGAGAGCATCAACTAGGCTTCATGAATTTCTTTACAATTCAGAAAACTTTAAAGATACAGTGTTCTCTTCTCCAGTGCATTTTTGGGCTCTTTACAGGATTTTTCTCCATACCCAGAGGCACATTTCTGTTTTACACACACTAAAATCTTTTCCTTTACAGCTCTCTGGAGCCTGAGGGACTCCTAGAGATGTTTCCCCTTCATTTTTGATAAACACTGTGTATTTAGCCTGTTGTACTCACATGTTCAGGTCTTGGGTGGTGCAAATGGTTTGCGCCAGACTACTAACCTAAAGGTTGGCGGTTCTAACCCACCCAGCGGTGCAGCAGAAGAAAGACCTGGCAGTCTGCTTCTGTAAAGATTACTGTAGAGTAGTTCTACTTTATAACACATAGGGTTACCACGAGTCAGAATTGACTTGACAGCAACGGGTTTACTCACATGTCCAAATGGAAAATAAAATAATAAATCAGTCATTTCAAGAAACATTATTCATCACTCATTCTTAATCACTAGGCTTTTATATTTTTAAAATTGTATTTATCTCTTTATTTAATGGATATTTATCAAAAGGTCAGCAGTTTGAACCCACTAGTTGCTCCGCAGGAGAAAGATATGGCAGACTGCCTCCATGAAGATTTACAACCTTGGAAACCATATGGGGCAGTTCTACTCTGCCCTGTGGGGTCACTATGAGTCCGAATTGACTTGATGGGAATGAGTTTGTTTTGTTTTGTTCTTTTTGGTAGTCAGTATGCCACCATTAATATAACTTTGCAAAACCAAACGTTATTTAATTATACGTACATATATGGTAAAACTATAAATGAGAGCAAGAACTTATTAAAAAGTAATTTAGGGTAGTGGTTTCCTTTATTAATGTGCTTGATAAATTATATGTTACACATATTTTAGTATGTATTATGAAATGCTTCATAATTAAACTCTTAAAATGATGAAGTAAAAAAGTCAGAGGAGTTCAAAAGAAGGAGTAGAAGCGGTGTCATGTCTGGGAGATTGAGGAAAGCAGCATAAGTGAGGTCCTTTCAAGGAGGGAACATCTCGGGCTTGTTTAGTGAACAGCAAGTAATCTAATGGGAGGGTAGAGTATATACAGGAGAGTGGTGTAGTTCTAAGTCAAACAAACAGACATCAATTTAGTGGACTTAATGTAGTGAATAGCCACATAAGGCTTTGGGCAATAGAATAGTCACTAGGGTGTGGGATGGATTGGAGGAAGGAGACCCTTGATGTGAAGCTACTATCTTGAAGGTCATATCAATTAGAGAAGCAAAATTAGTTTGCATAAAAAAGGAGGCTAATTGAATGTGACAGATATGGGGAAAGAGGCATGGAAATAACTAGAGGTTTGATTCCAAAGGACTTGTAAGTACCTGCCAATAAGAGAGAAAATGTTATGTATGGAACATTGGACATGTAGAGAGAATGAGATTGGTTTTGACTATGTTGGTATAGAGGTGTTTGTAGGCAACACAGGCAGTTGGGTATGTGGGGCTGGAGCTTGGGATGGAAGCTGAGACTTTGGAGTTACCCTCCTAATTTATGGTGTCATCCGTTGAGTAGATGATCCGGTGGAGAGAGGCCAGTTCTGCTCACATTATCTCAAAGAGGTCTTTCCTAACCTGTTGTTGTATGCTGTCGAGTTGAATCCAAGTCACAGCAACCCTATAGGACAGAGTAGAAATGCCTCATAGGGTTTCCTTGGCTGTAAGTCTTCACAGGAGCAGATCACCAGGTCTTTTCCTACCCTCCTACTCTGGATTATGTTTCTTCTTAGCACTTCTTGATTTATTATATACTTATTTGTTTATTTTTTTCCATCTCCTTCAGCAGGGCATAAACTCTGTGAGAGCAGAGATTTTGACTGTTCATTTTCTCCCACTGCTATACCCCCAGCAGCTAAAACAAATAGAAATTATTTCTTGAGTAAATGAATGAATGAGAAGAGAGCTGAAGGTAAAATCCTTAGAGTATGTCTGCCATCAAGGATGGGTGGAAAAAGAGTACCCTGTAAAGGAGATATAAAAGAGGGAAAATGAATGTGACAGAGGTGGGCCCTGTGATTTGAAACCTAGAGACAAAGGAATTTTTTGACACAACTGAAAGATTGCCATGTGTTTAGACATATAAATAAATATCAAGCAAAAACCATTTACATTTAGGCATTAGAAGAATATCAATCAACTTTCAAGTTTGTGCAGTGAAGAAAGGAAGTAAGAAAGGAAGAACTCTACTGAGGATATGGAAGAGAAAGAGACCAGAAATGATGAAGAAGAACTTTTCTGCCCAGCTATTGGTGACAAGCTAGATGGTTTAGAGTCTAGTAGACAGCTGGCATCTACAGCTTTGCTTCTAAACTGTGCATCAGTATTACACAAAACTTATATAACACCAGAAAGATAGTTACCTGTGTTTTACTGACTATGGAAAGGCATTTGACTGTGTGGATCATAACAAATTCTGGATAATGTTGCAAAGAATGGGAATTCCAGAACACTTAATTGTGCTCGTGAGGAACCTATACATAGATCAAGACACAGTCGTTTGACCAGAACAAGGGGATATTGCATGGTTTAAAGACTGCTCTGACAGGGATCACAACAGAGGGTCCCGGACAGAGCTGGAGAAAAATGTAGAACAAAACTCTAACTCACAAAAAAAGAGCAGACTTACTGGCCTGACAGAGACTGGAGAAACCCTGAGAGAATGGCTCCTGGACACCCTATTAGCTCAGTATTGAAGTCATTCCCGAGGTTCCCCCTTCAGCCAAAGATTAGACAGTCCCATAAAACAAAACGAGACTAATGGGGCACAACAGCCCAGGGACTAGGACTAGAAGGCAGGAAGGGACAGGAAAGCTGGTAATAAGGAACCCAAGGTTGATAAAGAAGAGTGTTGACGTGTCGTGAGATTGTCAACCAATGTCATAAAATAATATATGTACTATTTAATGAGAAAGTACTTGTTCTGTAAACCTTCATCTAAAGTACAACAAAAACAAAAAAGACTACAGTCTGCAATGTGGATTACACCTCAACATAAAGAAAACAAAAATTCTCACAACTGGACCAATAAGCAACATCATGATTAATGAAGAAAAGATTGAAATTTGTCAAGGATTTCATTTTACTTGGATCCACAATCCACAAGCATCCGTCAAGAACTCAAATGACACATTGCATTGGGCAAATCTTCCACAAAAGACTCCTTTAAAGTGTTACAAAGCAGAGGTGTCACTTTAAGCACTTGGTACACCTGACCCAAGCCATGGTGTTTTCAGGTGCCTCTTGTGCATGTGAAAGCTGGATAATAAATAAGGAAGACAGAAGAAGAATTGATGCCTTTGAATTATGGTGTCAGGGAAGAATATTGAATATACCATGGACTGCCAGAACAAAGAACGAATCTGTCTTACAGGAAGTACAGCCAGAATGCCCCTTAGAAGCAAGAATGGCGAGGCTTTGTCTCATGTACTTTGGACATGTTATCAAGAGGGCACTGTCCTTGGAGAAGGATACCGTGCTTGGTAAAGTAGAGGGTCAGTGAAAAAGAGGAAAACCCTCAACGAGATGGATTGACACAGTGGCTGCAACAGTGGGCTCAAGCATAACAACGATTATGAGGATGGTGCAGGACTGGGCAGTGTTTCGTTCTGTTGTACCTAGGATTGCTATGAGTCGGGACTGACTCAACAGCACCTAACAACAACAACTTTGCTTTTCATCTTTTTTTTTCCTTTAACTAGAGTGTATTTTATAGAGGGTCACAAGGTTGCAAAATTAATCATATTTTTCTTTCCTCATAGCATAAGATACATATGTCAACCCCCAGAATATTTTTAAGTGTACAGAAGTTTTACAAATCAGAATGCAGTTAACTGAGTGGGAGAGGAATGGGACAAAAGGAAAAATATGTCAAGTGACTCCAAGAAATGAGTGTAATTTTCTAAGGACTCTCAAGAATGTTCTTTAGGAAACTCATGGCTGAATAGAATGTCTTTTGTTTGTCCCTTTTTGGTGAGTGGTGGTAAGCTTTGAAATACCTCTTACAGTGACATTCTTTTTCTCTCTTCCTTTTTTTTTTTTTTTTTACATAGAGGATTAAGAGTCACATGCCTTATATAAAACATGATGCCAGAAAGCTTATGTGGGAAGGCCAGGAGGTTGGAGAATAGGAAGAGTGATTAGACATATAATACTTGATGGAATTGATGAAAATAGTACAAATTTAAGACATTATTCTTTTCCTTTGTCTAAAATGAATGATTAAAAATCATGTTTATTGACCAGGGCAACTATCATTTGAAAATAAGGAGTTCACCTGCATGCTAAATTGAGTAATACCCAATCTGATTTTTCAGTGCATGTTGAGTACGCTTACTCCTCAGTTATCAGCTATCTTGTTATCTAATCTTACGCATTTACACGGTAAAAAATCTACTATCCAACTATTTTGCGCATAACGACATACGTCTGGAAGTAACGAATGCTGAAGTGTGAGGTGCGAGTAACATTGGCTGTGATGATTAAGGTTATGTGTCAACTTGGCTGAGCCATGATTCACAGTGGTTTGGCAGTTATGTAATGATATAATTTGGCAGTTATGTAATTATGTAATTTGGCAGTTTTTTAATGATGTAGTCATCTTACGGAAATTTTATGATCTGATGTGGTCATCCTCCATTTTTGCATAATGATTTTCACATAGCGACCTGGTCTTTGGAACCTAACCATGTCAATAAGTAAGGAGTGGGTGTGTGAGAAACAGAATCATCACGATTTCCAGGAAACCCAGCAGTTACGTTCTGTAATACGGCTGATGGCTTCTTCCTAAAGGAAAATCTTGGGATAAAACTGAATCATCCTATTTTGGGCAGCATCAATCACTTTTCTTCTCTTTCTCTCCTCTTACAGATAAGAAAAAAGAAAAACTTTTGTTATTGTATTAAATTACTAATACCATTGATTAGCAGCAAATTAATGAGATGGATTTATCAGAATAAGTGGAAATGGTTAGCCAACAGCAGAAGTAGAGCTTTGTAAGATTCTGTGCAGTCACAGCTGAAATTAGTTTTCTCCCATGGCCTAGGTTTCCTATTTACTCAAGGGCCCTTGTCCTAAAGAACATTTCTGGAGCCTTGGAAATCCCATATGTTTTGGACACTTGGAGCTTTTTAAGTAGTAGGGGATGATTGTATCAACAGCATATGTGTTCTCACTCACCCAGGCCTTTTTGGGACCCATTTTAAAATAGCTACCAAATTTTGATAACTGGAAATAATTTGGTAATATTATTTAGTTGGAAAGCAAATAATAAGCCCAGTACTAAAAAAAGGCAAAAAACCCAAG